TCTCGAAAGTACCAGCTCAAAAACATTACCTTTCATAAAAGATGCTGCACTCAATATTTTTGAGCAAGTTTAGAGGGAGAAAAAGTGTTTACAGAACAAAAAAGAAAAAAGAAATAAACATCATTGTAAAACATTCCTCTAATCTAAAAGTTTGCCCTTTTATCTAAACGTATATTGATTTGAATCATAAATCTGTAAAAAATGGTATGAAAATTTACACCCTCTCATCCCATAAATGGCATCGCTTTGAATTAAATAATTATTGCATTCATGTATTATTAAAAATTATGTATTTAAATGCATGTTTGGGAAGAAACAAAGTCTAAGAAATTTTTTTATGACAAAATATTATGTTAATACATTTTATAATACGCACAGACAACATTTTTTTCAACATTATAATAAATCCATATTTTAATATCTAAATAAAAAATGATATACTTCCGTCAAATCAATATAGGTGCATGTTAAATTTAAATAATGAAAATAATATTATTCAACTGAAAGTTATTTGCTAGATATGTTAGCATATAATATGATGTAGAAATATAATATTGTTATTATAGTCTCATATTTCATAAAAACAAAATAACAATTCCATGAACTGAAGGAGGCTTCTCGAAGACCCAAATGTATTGTTTATAAAAGATTCCTATAAATTGATTTCGATTCTTTTATAAAAAAAAAAAACAAGTATATTATATTTGAAAGCACCACTAATATTCCGTGAGTCAAAATATGAAAAAATCTAAAAGAAAATGTCCATTAATAACAATATGAGAGTTATAATATATCTATACCATCATGTATCTACGTATAATCATATATTATATTATATATGAATTTATAGCAGTTTGGAAGTTTGTCACGGATGTGAAGAATATTTACAAAATAATTGTGTAGTCTAAACTCAGACGCGAGAATATTGTTGTCCAATAATAATATTGCACTTAGCCACCAAGTACCAATTACTACCCCTTATGGTCGTCAGTTAAAAATGTCACTAAACGAAATTTCACAAACAACAAATCTTCAACACCATGAACATCACAACACTCGACCACCCACTTCTAACCTTCTTTCAGATATTTTATTTTAATATGATTTTTATTTTTGACTCACAGATTTGATCATTAAAAGTTTTTGAATTTTGTAAAATATTCAGAAAGTGTAAGACTTAAGTAGAAAATCTATCTTAATAACATATTGGGTTAGATTTTATCCTATTTTTTTTTTTAATATTAACTTTTTTCATTATTTTTAATTTTTCATAACGAAATAGAATAATTCTTACTGAATGAATTGTATTATCCATGAGCGTATATCATATAATTATAATATATAAAATATATACATTTTCACAATTATTTTTCTCATCCAAAGTTTAAATTATAATACTATAATAACAATAAATTATTAATTATACGTACTGTATAATATATTGCATTTCTGTAAAACTGTACCTTACTTTATTTCGGTATACGAAAAATATATGACCGAAAGATAATCGTTTAAAAACTGAAAACATAGCCACTGTCTATGATAAAAAAAAAATGTATAACTTAAGAATGCAGAAGTGCTGTATTATTTACAGGTACTATTCAAAGGTAAAAGATGAGTAGGTAGGTAGGTACATATACTTTTTAAAACACATCGAATATGACCGTTAAATCGACACGTGTCTGAGGATAAATAAAATATCACCATGTATAAAATAACCCTAGCCGGACTGTACAACACATTGCATATTATTATATTATTGACTCGCAGGGTAAACATATATATTTTACGGACAGTGCGGCGGGCTACATGTCTATTCGTCGACAAAGGAATGTGGATGGGATGGGTGGGTGCGCGATAGGCATGTGGGTGAAATCAAAGTGTAGATCACTGCAGCTGTATATAATGGTCGTATTTTACGCGCGTGTCTATACATATTATTATTAGAGAACGCAAAATAGATGCGGTCTACGACTACGATGATAATAATGCAATGATTTATGCCATAACGATACTCATTGTGTGGGACGGTGGACGTTATACGACAGTCGACATGGGTGCGGGCAGATCGGCGGGGCCTTGGAAGACTCGGCGACATTCCGCCGGGCGGTATAATAATATTATACCACTGTAACCTGCGTGACGACCACGCCGTGGGTAATAATAATCGACGGACGACCATTTATAGTACGTAAGTATTTTGAGGACGTTCACGCAAAATCGAAAACGACGGTGATGGTCTTTACGATCCGAGAAATTTGCCCGCGGTAAGATTATAAGTCCCTGTGCCGAAACCAAGATAATAATATTATTATTTTATCGTGTCCGCCGCCGGCGACGACCATGAAATTACGTCACATACAACGCTAACTGTCTATGCAGGACACTGGTCCACCCTCTATAATATAGTGAATATAATATTATTAAAATATATTCCATCGACGAGGTGTAGGAACCACAGAGGTATAGGTACTTACATCGTATCGGTATTTATATCTATCTCATCCTACTTTTTTCCTCCTAGGTATGATTTTATAAAATTTATTATAATTAGGGTTATGAGTGTGAAATATTTCACATGAAATTTTCGCTATGAAAAATTGAAAAATATAAATTTTAATTTGTTTTTTGTTTTTGTTATGTTTAACAAAATCATCACTAACTAGATGGTCACACTGATTTCATAACTGATTATAGTAATTATCGGTACACAATTATGTTTTTCTTTGAGGTTTATAAATTATAATGATCATTAGTAATACTAATGTAATATCATATTTATATATTAATATACAAATATTGAAATATAATATTATATTAGTCCTATAAGCTGTAAATTAAAAATTATAATAATACTATATTATACTAAGGACTTAATAAGTATACAATTTTTATTTTATTTAAACTTAAATAGGAATACTATATATAAGGTTTTAACTCATAGATTATTATAATAAGGAATCTGGTAGTAATTACGAGTACAAATTATTAAATACACGTGAATTAAGAAATGTATATGGTAATTCATGTATTTAGAAACTTTTTTAAGTATGTTTATAGAAATTTGATGTAATTTATATAATGTACGAAGAATGCATAAAATATTTCAATAACATTACTACTCTAGATTTAAATTAAAATTATTTTTGATCATAAAAATAAAAATAAATTTCATGAAAATTTTAGAACCCTAATTATAACACGATCGGTATAATATAAAGAATGGTTTTATATTCTGAGAAAAACCAAGTGTGTGCGTGTGAGGAAGGGGAGGGGGTTGATTATGACTTAACGAGGTTATGCCGTTTTTACGAAACCATTTAATATAAAAATACCAATCGTATCCATTTTGGTAGAATATAATACAACGAGTGATTCCTTGAAAATTGCTGGGCGAATAACAATTTATTGATTTTAATTATTAGGAAGGTATACAGCGCAGACGCTGACGCTAACGCTAATATACAGTATATTTTTCAATCCATTGATCCGGAAAAAAAATTTAAGATCATAAATTAAATATAGAAAGTTATTGGTATAATATAGTTATTCATTAAATAAATATTTTATTATTGTTTTGACGCACCGCCGGAATTCTGTAGAAAACAAAATGAAATATAACGCTCGTGATACCGGACTACCAAAAATTTTATATAATAATAATAATGTGGTCGATGTGTTGATGCCGAAAAGAACTCGGAGGAATTGAAAAAGTAATGCAACACACAACACACACACACACACACTCGCGCATTGTGATATTAAAACGTTACACAAAATGAGGTAATCACTCATGAATAAAAATATGATAAGGAACGCGGCGGTCTGCGAGGTAATGTTGTTTTATTTCAAATCCCCAGTCGGGAATGATCGTGTGAAGGGTGCGGTATGGTGGTGGTGCCGGCAAGGGTCGTGCCCGGCGTGTACAGTCCCCGACGGTAAATGTCTCGGAACGAAAACAAACGACGTGCATTGCACTGGCGCAGCATCAACAATATGCGACCGCGGGGAAATGATAATAGTGGCCAAAGTTGGGGAACGGAGAGAGTCCGCGGTGCAGAGAAATTTACCAGAAGTATGTTTATTTGACCGATTTCCACGAAAGACTCAAAGACCAGTCGTCGTCGGTCGGCGACAGTTAACTATTATAGCGCACACCGACCGTATTTTATCGTACACTATATATATAATATACATACACGAACCATATGTACAGAGTGGTTGAACGACAACAACGCTTGGAAGCCTTAATGGAAGTGAAAGTTTAACGGCGAGAATAAGAGAGAAGTGTTTATTTTCTATAACGATTATGGTAATAACATAATAATTGCAATCTAAAAGGTCTCGAACAAATAAACGATTCGCCCGCCATGTTGCTGATAAAAGATTTCTGGGAACACGAAAAAAAATTACCAACCACGTTCTACATAATATTATAGGTACTTGTTATATTAAGATAGCAACCAAACCGTTTCGACTTAATTTAAATATAGCTTTTTTTCGTATGATACTTAAAATGCACTAATTTAAATAAAATTATAGTTGTTAACATTATCTTCTAGTCCACGTAACTGTTATATACATACAATTATATAATCGTGTATTAAATTAATGCATATTTTAATTTTCAGTTTAATAATATTTACGAATAACTAAACATTATATTTAGACCCMGATGTATAAATAATTTTTCATTCATCACGAAATATATAATATCGTTGGTATCAAATACTAAAATTTCAAATGATCAAAATAAAAATAGTTATGATATACTATATGTATTAAGTGTCAGTAGAATAGAATTTGGAGATCAATAACAGTATATAGGTACCTATAATATATAGTAGTTTTATTTATACACCCAATCAAAGCTGGAAAACATAATTTTTAAACACACTTTTCTCTATATTGGGGTCGTCCTTATATTATGTTGTAGTGGATATTGGCGAGCTGATGAAACAAAATTTGTATTGTTATTGAATGGTTATCCCTTAACGTACTTTGTATTCTAAACTCATGTTTTAGAAAGTTCACTAAACAATGTATATATGAACACTTTATCGAGTTTTGTCTATACTGCTGCCGCTGCTGCAGTACATACGTAATGGCTATTGGTACCAAACTTGACCGGAAGTGAACTCGTTTTCACCGGGTGAAATTTGTATGCGTCTTACTTTACAACGTGGAAAATGTTTACTCACCTGAAACAAAAAAAAATAAACACGATTGTTAGAAAGACACACTCGAATAACTAAGTATACATAAGTAATAATATGTGTGTGCGATTCAAAATGTAAAATGTCCACCTTGTTTTGTTCGTTACAGTAAGTTGGAAGTCCACCTGCGTGGACTTTCTTATATAAATATATTTGAATTTATTTGTAAGTTTTGACTATATTTTGTATTAAATATATATATATATATATATATGTATGTATGTATGTATGTATGTATGTATGTATAGTAGATATCTTATTATACTATAATACATATAAAATAAGTAAAGAAAAAATAAGTTTGGTTATATGCAAGTTATTGAATATCATGATTAATTTTTTTCTGCAATTCGATTGACGAACTTGTGTACCTACCTATATTATCGATTTCCAGCTGGAAACCATTCCCCTTAGCCATAATTACCATTAAATTTAGCAAAGTACCAGAGTACCTATGTTAATGCAAAACAATAATAACCGATCTGTGTGTATTGAAAATAAATATCGGTTAATAGTTTAATACGCTTAAATTGCAATATCTCTATAAATATTATATTATTATAATCCGTTGCTCGGACCATTGATGTTAATATATATGAAGCCTGCAAGTGCTCGTGAAAAGCAGCAGATCGGACATCAAGCATGGAACCATTGAACTCATGGGTGGTCGCGGGTGAGAAGGGTGAGAGTGTAGTTTGAGTGGACGCGTTCACGGTTCGTATTATTTCGATCGGCTGCTGCAGAAGTATATTATTCGTAATCTGTCCTTATTATGGCAGGCAACGATGATGACGGATAATATTGTGCTTATACTTCAAGCCGTTTAATGAAACTAATATCATCGTACACTATCATTTGTTTATTACTTTGGATGCAGATTAGTGTAAAGGGTAAGCCGGTGCGGGGAAGTTGCAATAGTGGAACAGCGGCGCACGTAAAGGATCGATACGGTTGACGATGTCACCTGAATGGGTGCTGACTGACACCCATTGTAGTTTGATATTCCATTCTCGTCGACATATTATTATAATAATGTAGACATTATCAGACATTATTATTCGTGAAAATATTATATTATAGGCGCGGTGTTGATCGGAAAAATCATGTTTCATGTACCAATCGGTTTTCCGCTCGCTTTTAGCTGACTAGTTCAACAATATATGTATATATATTATATAATAATATATAACATAATATTTAGGTCATAAATGCAACGGGTTGGTCATTATATCCGGGTAACTGATGTCAAACAACATTACAATTTACAGGAACGGGATTATTGCCGTCGGTGTACTAAAATACATGCCATTACGTCCAAAATTCCATTACAAGTGTATTCTACTGTACACAATTACGTTTGCTATAATATCCTGGAACCTACGGGTATATATAATATATATATATATATATATATATATTATATTATATATTTACAAATTATCACGAGATGGGACCTTATTCGAAATCAAATAAAACATAGGCAAATTTCGTATTCGTAATGTAAAAATTATTACCCGGTTACTGGTATATTACTGGTACCACGTGATATTTTGAAAGCAAACACGACATTTATATGTATATTATTATACCTACCATATGATGTGTACAATAATAATTCTGTTTCGCGTATACTTGGCATTGAAACGATTATGGCGATAAATTATTATCAAATACGAATATCAAATATTTAGGTACAACATTCGTATATTATATTGTATTAATTAAACATAATATTATTATTAATACAAAACCATCGAATGGTTGACAAATTGACGATTTAGTAGAAAACACATTAATTACTCTACTCGTAAATTAAACTCAAACATAGGACGGATTAGTTTCTAAACATATAATAATAATAATATTGGTCGATCCAGKCATTTTATGCGATCATTATTATGATTATGTCTGGGGTATCAGCAGTATTAATAATATAACCAAATACGACATAAATATCTTCGCTCTGCGTAAAATATAATATATTACACAGCGACGTTTTTGTGTAATATGATAAAATAAATGATGTGGTTTTTTTTTTAATATAAATAATATTCATAATTTAGTTGTTTGATTTACATATATATCGCAATACACTAAATAACTATCGTTGATTTTGTGATATATTATCGTAATACGGTGGAAGTTTATTTTAAAATCAATATGGTAATAATAATATTATATAGGTAAGCCGCGGTAGGTACAACATGATTACACGAGTCGTATTTAATATTTTATTTACCTCGCGATATCAGTGTGCATAATTATTATATCGTACATTAACCGCTACCGTCAATGAAATGATATTCCGAATTAAGGGTTGAAATAACATTTAAAGAGAAAAAAAATCAATCAAATTGAAAAATGACGAATATCGTCCCTCGTACAAATGTCGACGGACGACGGGGGCAGATATTGGTCCACGCGGTCGTATTCCCCGGAGGGATTTCGGTGCGTTATTAAAAGCTTTACGACCAACCGAGTCTCGTTTGTCGGGCCGTAAAAATCGGCTGACCTCGTGGATGTGTACATAATATATATACATATGTATATGTATATATATATATTATATATATATATATATATATGTATACATTATATATGTGTAAGGGTGGGTGGATCGAGATGAAATAATAATAAAAATAATAAACCGAATTTATAAAATATTTTTTCCTCCGTTTTTATATGAATATAACAGTAAAAACGGTCGAAATCGAAAAATATTATATTGCAAATACAAAATCGAGAACGACTCGAGACGGCCGTATACTAAATATATGCTTTTTTTCTGTTTTGTTTTGTTTCGTTTCGGTTTTTTCTTCCTTTTTATGTATACGGGTGACTTTTATTTATTATCAGTCGCGGAACAGCCGTATCTGCATAATAAACGATCTCGAGAGAAAAAAAAAACTATAGAACAAAAAAAGAAGAAACGAATTCCAATCGATTCGTTCGACGACTTGAAGTTCCAGTCACGTTTTTCGCATATCATTATTACAGTTCTGAAAGTATAAACAAATGTTTCGTACCCAGATAAGTCCGGGATTTCTACATCCCCCCGAAGACAGATTCAAATGAGTTTACTGGAATTGGCAAAAATATAAGAACCGTGGAACGAAGAATCCGAGGGGGGGGGGTGGTTAAAACTAAACAAAAAATAAATTAATAATATTAACAATAATAACTGGGTGCATATTTCATTCGGTTCGTAAAAGATTAAATAATATTATTATCCATCCTCTTTAGGGCGAGGGGGTAGGGGTTGAAGTGAAATTAAAACAGCTAGAATTCCATCTAAAATAAGCGGAATGGATTGCAAAATATTCAAAATATCGAGTAAAAAAATATTTCGAGGGCACGAGTTTTACTGCTTTACGGACGTTGCTGTGTCTAACTGTGTTAAAAATACGGCATGTGTATCGTATACCATATATTACTATCACGAATTAGTATCGTTTTTATTGTGTCCCCGACACGAGACTGTATAGAGATAAGACGGAGCAGAAAAAGCGTTATGAGGTTAAAGAATATGAAGAATGAAAGTCAAACACGTAATTTCGATTAACTTACCGCACGCGAACATGATATTACGCGCAGTTCCTAATGTTTTTTTTCTATGTAGCCGTATTATTATAAGAATCTAGGACAAAATATGGAAATTTATCCGTTTTTACGTAAATTAAAAGATTACACATTACATTCTAATAAAATTAACTCAAATATCAAATTATTTAATTATAAAAATATACCTAATACCTATATAATAATTATATAAATATATATATAATTTTTAAATTTTTAGAAAATAGTGTAAGTAGTCATTTTTTTAGCAAACTATTCCTGTATTCATAAAAACAAATTGTTTTACATTTTATTTTATTTTATTTTATATTATTTGACTATTTGACTAATGTTTGTGCAGTATATTTTGTGATATTATTATACTACTAACGTAATTTTTATATTTAGAAGTTAATTTTATAAGAAAGTAAAGTGTAATATACTAATTTACGTAAAATTTGGATATTTTGTCCGTGAATATTTTGACCGTTGGATATTTTGACCGATTACCTATTACAAATAGGATATTATTTTTTATTTCTTTTATTTTTAGCATTAGTTATGCAACACAGGTTATTAGCTTATATAAATATTTATATTTGTTTGATATTATTATATAACACTGCACATTTCAATTTTTTAATATAAGAAATTATATTGAGGAGGCTTGAACATGGACCAATATTGCTACATATAAATTGTTCAGGGTGTTAAATTTATCTCTGGCTTCGTTGACGTTCGGAAAATAAACTACAGTGAAAAGATTTTTAAAATGAAATATTCTACAATCATACCTATTATTCTATAAACCATACCATAAGGCGTTGAAATACGTCTTCATTATTAGATTTTTTTTTCATCTATATACACTTACGTTTAATAAATTCAGAATATTAATTGTTAGGTACCTACCTCAAATGGTACGCARAGTGGTGTTTGTGCATTTATTTGAGTAAAATTATATAAATATAAAACGACCACCTAGGATAATGCTAATCATCTAAATACAATTACAGCTGCAGAATTCACATATATTGTTTTAATATTATTAGTTTGGGAGTCATACAATATAAGACCATTCGACAAGAACAAATGTAATTCCATATCCGTTAACCGGAACCTTTAGTAATTTATGGAGGAAAAAGGAAAATGTTGTCAATATAAACTAATTGTAAATTATTGAAATTAAATATAATATACCTACCAATACGATGGCTACATTTTAATTCGCGTTCTGTACATATTATATAAAATTAAGC